CACTAGTTCTTGTTTTAAAGATTCCATTCCATACTAGCAATCTATTTTAGCAGCTAGGACGATGCCGATCCAAATACTTGGTAACTGATGGCACATGCTTTTATCCAGCTAAATTAGTGGCCGTACATCTGTTGATTTCCAAGGGATTAAGACTACTGACTGGGTAATATACTGTAATTGATCAGAACATTATTTTCAAATCAAAGTGGCCTCATATTATAGCAAAATTGATTGAAATACAGTTATTGCTTTGTTGATCATGGAGAGACTACACTAATGAGATGAGGCATACTTTTAATTGACCAGCTTTTGTTGCCTTGCAATTGGCAAGCTTTGAAGTTACAGTAGAATCTGCCTGGCAGAATACTAATTCAGATAATTCAGATTAACTTTAATTCTCAAAGCAGTTTTAAATTTACAGCATACTGATAGTGCAAGGTAATCAAAACAAGGAATGCTTACTGATATTGTGGGTGAATTCTTGGCTGAGAGGCATTCATTGTATCTGAGGCTGGGGTGATCAAGTTACTTTCTTCATCACCCTAGGCTGTATTCACATGGCAGAATTTTGACACCATATTTGACAACCTGGCTCAATGCTATGGAATTTTGGTATTTGTAGTTTTGTGAGATGTGTTTACCCTTCTCTGTCAGAGAACTCTGGTGCAAGAATAAAAAATGCAGTTTAGTGCTACGAGGGGTGTTCATTAAAGATTTCCCCTGATCCACTTCCTGGGGACTGAGAAAAATGAAGCTTGGCACAGTTATTAGTCCTTCTCTACATAGCTGCCTCCTAGGGTCACACACTTCTCCCATCTTTTTAACCAACTGTAAACATCTCACTTGTAGAAGTCGACAGGTTCCTCCAAAAGCCATGTTGTGACTTCAGAAATTAGAGTCTCATAATCTGAATAATGCTTGCCCTTAAAAATAACTTCATTGTTGGAAAGAGTTGGAAGTCAGATGTTGCAAGGTCAGGTGAATAAGGAGGATGCAGTAGAATTTCAAAGCTACAAGAGCATGCTTCCATTGGGGCAACATGTGACTGGTGCACTGGTGCACTGTCTTGCAAAAGTCTGACACCTTTGGTGAGCATGCCACGTCTCTTGGTTTTGATGGCCTCCCACAATTTCCACAGCAGTGAAGCAAAGTATGGCCTAGTAATCATGGTACCCTTTGCTAGGAAATCCATCAATGCTACTTTGTGCTGGTCCCAAAATACTGTGAGCATGACTTTGCCTCCCGAGAGTTGGGTAGTGCTTTCTTTGGAGGCGGTGAGTCATGATGCTTCCATCAACTGAACTTTTGTCTCAGGATCATAGTGATGGACCCAGATTTCATCCTGTGTGCTCAGTCTGTTGAAAAAGTCCTTCTGGTTTCCATGGCACATTGTCAATTGAGCCTGAGAGCATTCAGTTTGTTCCTGCTTCTGAAAAGGTGTGAGCAGCCGGGGGACCCAGCGAATGGATACCTTATGCATATGAAGATGGTCTTGGATGATTTTTTTCCATGGTCTCCATACTAATCTTGACATTTTCAGCTAGGTGGCAAATGGTTAAATGGTGATTTTCCAAAATGCCGACCTTCACTTGCTGGATCGTGTGTTCATCAATAGCAGAGTGCGGTCGCCTTGGAATCGGAGCTATTTCCACTGAAGTCCGACCACATTTGAATTGATGATGCAAGTTCTTGACTACATCATATGATGGGGAATCATCACCATAAACCTCTTTCATCTCATCAAATGTCTCCTTTGGTGTGTGGCCTTTCAAGTAAAGGAACATGATGACTGCTCTGTATTCCACTGGGTCCATTACCAAACTTCACACCACTTCAGCATCTGTACAATCAAGACCATTATCAGTTCTGAGTTGTAAATTGGCACGTAATCTATAGAGACTTATATCATTACACATGTGCAGTTTCAGCATCCTATGATAAATAGAAGTGAGTTAGGGGAAATCTTTAATGAATGCCCCTCGCATGTCCTGTCAAACTGCTGTAATTCTGCAGTAAAAATGGGTGGCTGGTCTGTTTATGAGTTTGAAAGGGAAATGGAAAAGCAAAGATATTGAAGAAATTCATTCTGTAGAAGATTTTTCCACATTATAGCATTAAGAGTGCATTCTTTGATACATCCACTCACAAATAACTTTCACCATAAGTTCAGGGGGACTTACTTAGGTGAGTATCAGACTGCAGCCTTGAAAAGCGACTGCCTAGCTTGCTAATATATGTCTGCTTTGATAACAGGTTAGTAGGTTTCCCCACTTGGCAACCCCATTCTTCTTTTCTGTACTAATCCAAATTGATTTCTCAAAGATTAAACTGCTTGAGGGAGCCATTGGGAGCCATTTCTAATAATGTAGTGACAAAGCAGTTGCTAAATCTCTACAGATGCATAAAGGATATTCAGTAAGGCAGTTTCAGCTATGAATGGAAAGACCCACATTGTTCAGCTCCTCTTTTCTATCTTGCTTATTGGAAAAGTCAGCAAGCAAATTTCACCTGTAAACTAGAATTGGACATTGGACAGGTGGTCCCTGCAAGGCTGAAAATGGTTAGAGATAGAAAAATGTTAGGCAAGTCTTCTTCTACCATTTTCAGAAGGGATAAGGTTGGAAGGTGGGTGGAGGTCACCAGAGAATGAAGGGGATAAAGGGGCGGGGGCAATGGTAATAGGATCATTGGTGCTCTCAGTGAGCTAAGGCTTGTCTTCCCATATATTAGCCTTCTTCAGATGCATTAAATGATGACTTCCAGATGCATTAATTGACAAGTTCCATTATTTTATGATACCAGATGAGCTCAATAACAGCTCTCATCATAATCTGATGTAGCTTGTATGTGTAACTACTTTTGGATAGTTATTATGAAGATACTAATGGGCTGAAGATTGGCCTGACTGATTCAAAATTTGAGAAGGGCCCATTATTTCAGGGCATCAGGAAACTTCAGGAATAGACCTCATGGTTTGTATGTGTCCACAAACTGTCCAACATTTTAGAGATGAAAACTGGAGCATGTGCAATCAAGTAACATCGAAGTTGATCAAGGTGGCAAAAATTTGTTGTCAAAGGCTATCATGGCCAGAATCACTGGGTTGCTGTGAGTTTTCCAGGTTGAATGGCCATGTTCTGGAAGCATTCTCTCCTGACATTTCATCCACATCTATGGCAGGTATCCTCAGAGTTTGAGAGGTCTGTTGGAAACTAGGCAAGTGAGGTATATAAACCTCAGCAGAGAATGCTTCTTGAACATGGCCATTCAGCCTGGAAAACTCACAGCAACCCAGTATCAAAAATTATTGTGAGGAAGAAAAATGAATCTAGGAGAGGCTATTGCAGTTTACTTTTGCCTAGGCCTACTGGGAAGGATAATTACGCTGCCTCTTCCTGTCCTGAATTACCTGAGGACAAACTACTTCTGCAGCAGTTGGAACAAAATGAGGGCAAAGTGAGAGAAGGAAAGAAACTGGGACATTTTAAAAGCAACTGAAAAAGTAGGGCAACAGAAAATTAAATAGGACAGTCCCTGTCATATCAGGACAGTTGAAAGGTGTGTGTTCAGTTTTTAAAAAAATCAAGAAGCAGATGGTCATAGTAAAGTGCCATGCTAACCAAAGCAGACAGATGTAGATCTGGCCTGATCTAAGCTTCTTTTGTTCAAAGCAATATGTGATTTTTGCCATTTTTCTATATTTTGCCAAGGCAGACACCTTTGCCCATTCAGTTCTCAATGTGTTCTCATTATCTATTCTTTTTCTTGTTACTGATGAAAATGGCCAATTATTTGGATCAATGGACCATATTATGATCAGACAGCTATGAGGACTGCCAAGATCATCACTTACACTTCAGAACCGACCATCACACTGTTTATTTATTTAATTAATTTACTTCATTTATATTCCACTCTTCTCACCCTGCAGGGGACTCAGAGCAATGTACATCATATATTTAGGCAAGCGTTCAATGCCTCGATTATACAAAATGTTAAAACATAACACTACTCCAAGGTGGGAGGCTGGCCTTGGTTGAAATGGGAAGCTTTAGCCTTAATCCTATTGGTTCATTTCAACAAGAGTGGACCCAGTGAATCCATTGCTGAGTGGTGGGTCAATATGTCAGTAAATCCTGTTACTTTAATGAGTCTACTTTAGCCCTTTTCCTTGTTTAGCCATTTCTACTGGAGGAATTATCAGCAGTTCTTCTTCATCACTGAATTCAAAGACAGCCAGTGAATTATGTTAAAGTTATGTTATTCTAATGTCTGCATTCCTTTCCAACCCAAAAAGGATGCAGGGCAGTGAAGGATTTTATGATTACCCACATTTCCAGGACTTTATGATTACCCACATTTCCAGTGAATGTAAATGTGTTGGTTTACAAAGAACAGAAAAACCAGCTTAGTGATCCACAGCAGAATATATTAAACTCTTTTCAAAGCCTTATTAGATTATCTAGTTGGTGCATAACACTTTGATGTGGTGTGTATATTATAATAAGATTTTTATATACCAACATGTTTTCTAAAGGATGGTTTTCTAAAGATATTTGAAGAGGAATCAATCCTTGAAAGGAACGTACATGTACATTTAAGCCAACTGCAAATAATGCTGAATAACCCTGAACAAAGGTAATCATATGGCAGCGCTACTATTGTTGCAAGGAGAATGGAATTATCATTCTCTGTGGATGGCCGAGATTTATTTGTGCAACAGCCAGGACCTCTTAGGAAAGGTCAGCCCTTGGTAGCGCTGAACAGCAGTTCAAAGTTAAGACAGACACATAGAAGCCCAGCTTCCCGTGGAGCACGTCTAAACGTACAATGCATGTCATGGCTCTGTCTCAACGATGAGAGGAGAGACAAAGGAGCAATTCTCAAAGGAGGTCTGTTTCCTCTGCTTTAATAAATGCGCCAATTTGATTTGTTTACTCAGATCTCAGCTCCCTTCCCCCATGCAAACTGTTTGGATAACCTGTTAGTCTCAACTCAGACTGGTAAAACCAGCTAAGCTGATTAGTTCTCTCTCTCTCTTGCTCACATATACACACTCACGAAGAAAGGCCACGGGGAAAGCATGGCCTTTGCCACATTCAGGGGACTTTGGCCTGGGTAGAAAGGTTTGGTGGGTTGCTGATGCGTAAGAGCAATGTGACTCGAGTGCGGAGTGAGCCCCAATCCTTTCCTTTCTAACCGGGCCTTGGGTTCGCATCGATATGAGCCATCATGTTTCGTGTCACGTTCAACGTAGTGACAGAGAAAGTTACCTTCACCTTCGCAGCCTGCCCCTCCATCACGTGGAAGGTAAGCACAAAAATATAGATAGTGTATAAGGGGAGGTAAGCAAACTCAAGGGCAAGAGTATTCCCAATTAGATGGAAGACCATTACAATGGATTTTCAGTTGTATAGCACTGAGTAAAAGGTTATTTGTATGCAATTGTAGGTGTGCAGTTTCTCTCTCCCTTGCACTCTTATTTTATTTTACTTTTGCCTGTAGCCATTTCACAGAAAAGAGGGATAAGAAGAATGCCAACTGTGTGATAGCCAACAGCTCTAATGTCTGCCTAGGATAATAGCCATTATTGCAATGTTTAAAAATTCTTTCTAATGTTTGTTTTTGCCAATATGACATATTGGGGAAGTTGTCATCTTACATAGTTATAATAAGGGGTTTCTCACTGTGCAAGGATTAAAATATGGGGAAAGAGAAGAATAGATGCTTTCATTAGGGCTACAGTTGTGCAAATAAGTTCTCCGCAATGTGCACTTCTTTCCTTTGCAGTTTGGTCCAACACCGAAAAATTACAGGTTTAAAAGCCATTGGTTGTTTTGTTTATTTTTTTAAAAAAACGACTAACTTTCTTTGCTCAAATGTACTAAATCACTTTTTACTATGACCTCCTAGCAGAATTACAGAACATTCTTCAACTAAAATATAATTTAAACGATAATAGAGATGATATACATACATACTGACAAACACACACACATCCACACACACACACACACACACACACGTAAAACACAGGAAAGCTATTTTTGGATGTCAGTTCCTAGAATATCAAGGCTGCAATATCTGTGGCCGTAGCATTTGAGGAATCTTTGGAACTCTAGTTCAAAAAGTAAACCTGAGCTCTGTTAAAGCACTGCTTACTGACTCCAGAAGAATAACTCCCAACTATCTGTTCTGATTCCACTACATTAATAGGAAGTGTACCAAAACTCATCCACACCATCTTGCACCCCTCTTTAATTCCTGCAAGGACATTTGTAGGAGATGCTTCTGACATCTTTCTTCTTGGAGAGCATACTGCTGTGAACAAAGTCTGTGTCTTCCTGTTGATGTAGTACTTCAGCATTTGGTATAGTACTTCAGTTGGGGTAGTACTTCACTAACTCTGACTTGTTGGCATTAATTCAATGACCTCCATGTGAAATATAGATGTGAAAGTTTCAGAGAAAAACAGAAAAAATTATAAATCTGGCATAGAATTATGCCTCCTAGAGTTCTGGTTTCATCCGAGGCCCTGTCTACATAGAAAAAAGAAGAAAAAAACATGCTTGATGTGTATTGGTCAATATCCTGACATTTGTGATCATTCGTGTTCCAAATGCTTCTTGAGCCCTTTAACTGCTTTTAAAAGAATTAGCTTTTCAGATGTATTCTGACTGAAGATCCAAACGAGTTCTGGGTTTGTTTTTTTGTTTTCGTATGTGTGGCGCCAATGAATAATTTCACATTAGAACTGAAGGAAAATTTGGGGATGGCATTAACTGGTTGGTGGAAGGTGAAAAGGGCCAGAGGTTCACATGGTTATTCCTGCCAGGAAGTGGCCTTGATAATGGTTATCTTTAAAATGTTAAATGACCACCTATAATTATTTAAAAGAAGGAATGTTTATGTGAATACTTGCAAATACATATATTAGTCTATCATTCTTCCTTCGACAATACATAGGCTATCATTGTTTGCACACCTCTGCACAGCAAGATAACTATCAAATATATTAGACAAAAGTATGTATATTAGAATGCATGATGGGAAGAAAATAAAAGTGAAGCAGATACTGCCAGCAATAGTGTGAATGGAGGGGAGGGGAGTTTTCTGAAGCAAACTGACACTTATGTGTGCATAGCCAGGAGATATGTGCAGCTCTTTAAGACAAACTCACCATAATATGCATACATAAGGATTTTTTTCAGGTGTAGACAAGCCCTGAAATACTTTGGAGCAGATATTTATTTATTTACAGTATTTATATTCAAATCAGCATTTGGTCAGTTTTGATTTGAAATATGCATGGGTGAGCATCTGAGGGCCAGTATATCCTGAACTACCAAAAAACAAATAAATGTGTCCTAGAGCAAATCAAGCCCAAGTTCTGAAGTCAGGGTGAATAAACTACCAGTCTGTGGATATATCATGAGAAGACATGCGTCACTAGAAAGAACAATAATACTTGGTAAAGTAGAAGGAAGTAGGAAAAGAGGAAGACCATATTCCAGATGGATAGACCCAATCAAAGCAGACAGAAGACTTTAAACTTCATCACATGCAAGCCCCCCTCCCACATTTCCACACACTTCTAAAACAGTTCACAGATGAAGTACCACAGAACCCATCATATGATACAGACAGACCTCTGACTGTAATCCATGGTGTTTCATCAATGAACTATGTCAGAAGTGTGGATAAATGGGGGGGGGGGGTTGAAGCAGGGGAGTAATCTTTCTGAGCTTCTGATGTGCCTGGAAATGCTCCTTAAAATATGTGGGATGGGATCTGCCAGATTCGCCTGTGATGAATCATTTCAGTGATGTGGAGAAATTGGTGTTCTTAAGAACAGTGTTAGGGGTCTCCTCTAGAGTAAGGTGATTACAAGAGAACATAAAAGAACCCAGGAGTGGTGTCAGATTTAAAAAGTGACTGGGTCTCCTCTAGTGACCTCATCACAAAGGGCTACATTTGGTGGCATGCTGGCTCTCATCAAATAATGCTGGCACAGTTCCATGGGTGAAGGAGGGTGGAGCCAGTGTATGCCACAGCCACGGCAACATGGGAGGTTTCCCATGTTGCTAATGCAAGCAGTGTACACTCCATGTACACTCCACGCTTCCCCCCATGGGATCAGCTGGGAGATGAGTCAGGTGATATGGGGCATGGGGTTCCTCACACCTCTAGCAATGCAGAGCAACTTTGGTGGCCATGTGACAAGGTCGTAGAGTAGGTGTTTGAGAGGGAACATGAAGGAGTCAAGGGATGTTGTCTGATTTAAGGATGGTGCCTTGAATCACCATCCTTAAATCAGACAACATAAAGAAGCATAAAGGAACCCGGGAGTGGTGTTTTAAGAGTGATGTCTTGGATCCTGTGTGATGTGGTAGCTCCATCTTCTTTACAAGATGGAATCCCATGCAAAGAAGACAATTCTATATGCAAGAAGATGATTTCCTCTGCTTTCCCCTGTTTTTCCCCAGCTACGTCTAATGAAGTCCTTCGTTTGCAAGGAGACTTGGTGGTCTCTTAGTCAAAGGGCTGCCATAACTCAAGAGTAGTAAACAACAACAAAGACTTATCAACAAGAATAACTGTAGAGTCATAAAAGTAGCTGGGTGCTTGTTCCAACTCACCATGGTATTTTTTTGACTATATCTTACCTATCTTGAAGTAGATTACATCCAAACTGGCAGGAAGCAGTGAAGGAATTTGAATGCACAAGTCATTCTGCTGTGTTAGATTACACTCACATTATGTCTGTATTATCTGAAGATGATGGGAGTGTAAGCCAACATACCTGGACAATGCTAGGATGAAAAAAATCTGTTCTACCTCATCACTTTTTGGAAATGGTATTTTAATTCTGCCCAGCATGAAAAATACTTCACTAGTTGTCCTCTTGGCTTTTTTCCCCAACCATAAAACACAAGAAAACAAAGACATTTGAAATATATTAAAAATCTAATTGTCTGACTTTATAATTAAAAGCTAACATTAAAGAAAATGTGCTGGAAAGAAACATTTATTCTGAAAGCCCGCAACTGATGTTCATTTCTGGAATTGCCGTTTTGTCTCCTTTGCATTACTTCAATGAAATAATTATTTACAGTATTTTAAACAATGATTGGCTTGCTTAAAGATGATTAATGTTTACTTAATGAGTAGACAGGATCAGTATTCAAGGCCTTTTTTATTGTGGAACAGCTTGCAAAATGATGTCAAAGCTCCTTTAGTATCATATGTGATATTTGGGGTGTAGAGGGGAAATTTGCAGGTTAACAATATGCTCTTGTTCGGCCAATTGAGGGGCTATGGCATACGTCAGAATCCATGTTTGACTATACTGCTGTTAAGTCAAGTCCACAGCATGTCTGAAATTCTATGGTAGCCCCTTTGATATACTATAACAGTAGGTGGATCATAATTCCTGAAGCCATTCGGATAATGGGGTTGGAGCACTCCCCTCACATTGATAGACATCTAAGGCAGCTAGCCATTGTCCTATGGCTGTATTAGAAATTGCATTATGACCCCCTTACCCATGGACTTCAATATCCATGGTTTCACTTACCCACACGCTAAGAAATACTCCCCATGGAAGTGTTTGTGTGCCTCTCTATGTTCTCAGGTGCAATTCTATGGAATTATTTTGGTCCAATTTCTGACTTCTTTCACATCAGCTACTCCTATGGGCTTTCCCCCCATATCTACTACCACCTATTCCAGCACAACAACATCAGTGTGCCGGATTGCTGTCCTTGAAATTGATCATTTTTTGGAGATGAATGAAAGGATTGGATTTAATTCCAACAATGAAGCTACAGACCTAGATGAGACTGCTCAAAGATGAGGGCCAGGTAGCAAAAACAGTAAGGATTGTGAACTTCTTTCAGCCTGAAGGCTGAAAGTTTTAGAGAAGTTCTCTATATTCTGGTGATGAATGAGACTAAAGAGTGAAATAAAAATGCCAACATATTTTAGCTCATTATCATCACAATATGAGCTCAAAGAGAGATAATTCAACTTTTTCGAATAGGTAAATAGATAGTAAAAACCTGGGGAGCCACTATGTATCATAGGGAAGGGAGGTATGGTTCGAAAAGATTGAACAGCTAGATTGCAAGTCCAAGAGAGACAGATTCAGCCCCAAGTTCTGGGGTTTGTGTGTTGTGTGTGTGGGGCAGGGAAGGAACCTTTGAATCAATTGTCAACTTGACACCCTCAATAAATTTGTAGGGTTTTCTTAGGCAAGGAATCCTCAGAGGTGGTTTTGACATTTCCTTCCTCTGAAATACAGTCTACAG